ATCAGTGTCTAGCACACCTTCCTAAGGAAAGGATATGGACCAGAAGACATTGCAATTACTAAATTATATTTAGACAGACTTAAAAAAGTTCCAGATCTATACTTGTGCTCTTATTATTTCAGTTATTTTGCCTTTAATGTAAATAAACATGTGCAAACAATATTATGGAACGATATTCCGGACTATTTTCAAAAGGAATTGCATATTGTATTTTCAATTGCGTTTTCAATATGTGGACGCATAAATTGTGACACAATCCAAATGCAATTGCAAATCCTGCATTACCGTTTGCATTTTCGCTTTCGCGAACGCACAGTGACTGCCAAATTTCAAATGAAAAAGCAAAGTCCATTTGCAACTGTATTTCCCATGTCTTAGGAGTTACGAGCCTGTCATATTTAAATAGCAATATTAATTACCACGTCTGCTTTTTCACTCTCGCTGCGTCGCGCATGTAACCTGCCAAAACTCAAATGGAATCGCAATTCCTTTTGCATTTGAATTTCCGATGTCTACATGGAAAGCTGCCAATCATCGTCAGGGGTGGGGCTATACTAGGGGGCGTGTTTGTATTGGGAGGTGACGTCACTCACAGACGACAGTGCCGAATGCTCTGATCAATGGAGGTAATCGGTAAAGGCTCCGCTAAAGGCAGCTAGCAATCAGTTTCGTACCTGTGTGAACGAATAGACAGTGCAACCTTCTTGGCACAATACATAATTATGTCTTTTTTACCCCAAATGTAGCGATTATCCCCTGCTAACAGCGGGAGCCACAACGGTACGCACAATAGGTCAATATTCACTATTAACCAAACGCTTTTCACCTGTCTCAGCATCTCTCACTGTTTACACTTTTAATCCGTAATAGAGAGCGTGTCACACCTTCCTCAAGACCTTTTACCGTTTGCACTCCACTTGATGCACTTAAACAAACAGACAGTGCAAATCTACACGTATTTACCTATTTGCAACCTATATCTTATAAGACTTATTCCTATCTAATAGCCTATGTGCACCTGCCTCAAGATCTCTCAGTCTGTTTACGATCCGATAGATGCATGTGACAAAACAGAAAATGCTGCTACTCTTACTTACTCTGCCTGCCCCACTTGACACTTCACCAGTCAGATCTAGGTGCAGCTGTCGCAGAACACGCCACAGCCAAGGCAAGATAACATTAAAAATCACCTGCATCAATCGCGGTGTCCAGTGGCTGTAACTAGTGAGAGATCTTGAGGCAGGCGCAACGCTTTGGTGCCACGTACCGGACGCGAACTCCATAACGGATTAAAACGGTTGAATAAAATATAAAGTAAGGTGGAAAATAAGTATAGATTTGCACTGTCTGTTTGTTTAAGTGCATCAAGTGGAGTGCAAACGGTAAAAGGTCTTGAGGCAGGTGTGACACGCTCTCTATTACGGATTAAAAGTGTAAGTGAGTGTAAACTATATAAAATAGTTTATTATAGTTTATTAAATACTATATATAAAACGGGCAGGAAACATCATCAAAGACCCCTCTCACCCCGGACACAACCTGTTTGCACTTCTCCCTTCAGGCAGACGCTACAGATCTCTGTGCACTAGAACATCTAGGCATAAAAACAGTTTTTTCCCCCATGCCATCTCCAGCTTAAACAGCTAACATATGAATCATTACCTGCATTCTGTAATTCATTTCCGTAATTCATTCTACATCCTTAATTATTGCCTCTTTCTCAAGTATTATGCAAATACATATGCATATCTCTTTATTTATACAGTTCTATATAGATTAAATAATGCACAAATCTGTACATAAATCTACTGTTCCAGATTCATACACATTATTTATTGTT